CGCACTGCTGGTTCATTAAACTTATTATAGCATGTGCTAATTAAATAATGGAGTGGCACTCACATACCAAAGGGTGAAAAATGACTGCTGTTGCATTTCATTCCCCATATGTCACCCTGTTTGCCCTTGCTTTTACCATGTGTATTTGCTTTTGTGTGTATGACAGAGTGGCAGAGTAAGAGTGAAAATGCCTAAGCTACTGGTAATTGCATGAGGGAAAAACCTCAAACCATAGGGAGAAATGAAAAGGTTCACAGAGTCTATTTACCATGCTGGCTAATATTGTAAAGAGGGAGGGTATGTACACAGGGTGTCCATGTGTTTTTCTGATGCTATTTGAAGCATAGGAATTGCTATTGAGGTTACGCTTGGGAGGGAATAAAATTGTGAATTAAATTGTGTTGGACTTTTTTTCTGGAATTAGCCCTGCTAAAATTTGGTTCATGGTACTGCCATGATCTTTTTTGGTAAAGCTGTGGTTCATTGATTATCTTATAGGCTAAAACCATGGTATGTTTATATAAGAGTGACTGGGGCAAGTTGTCCCATCTTTTACTGAATAATTCTCAGTGTTAGTTTATTTTTAAAATATACAGTAAGTGGAGACACAAACCTTAAGCTGCTGTCAAATTCACCGCTGTTTGGCTAATTTTCATCCAGTCATTTTAGTAGGAATCCATGCGGTCTGGAATTTCATGTGAGGAAAAAAGATTTCCCCACACAGATTTTGCATCAGATTCAAATTGGTTGTGCGAATTTGCTGTGTTGACCAACAGAAAGCTGCTTGGTTTGAAAATTACTCATGTGAGCTGTGCTTCATACATCGCTAGACTGACAATAGACAATGGACCCTTTTGTCCACAAAATTTCACAGAATGTTTTCTAATGTGACCGCACCTTTGAAGTCTTTAAAAAAAAAAATTGTAAAACGACAATTTGCCAGACCGAATATTTATGGAATTTGTTCATTTTTTGTTATTCATTCATTTATTTATTTATAATTTATACATGTTATTTATTTATAACAGATATTTTGAAAATATATATTATTTATTGATATTTATTGATTTACTGGTATGAAATTTGTGTGGATTTTTTAGACAGATTTTTTAGGATTCAGTGCCATTTTCCCCATTGCACTGAATGGTTAACATATTTATATAGTATGGTATTTACATGGTACTTCAAATTAGATTAAGAAGCCTGATGGGGACACCAATGCACCAGCATCCCATGCCAGCATTCAAAACACAGCATCTTTCCAGAAGGTATAAAAAAGATAGATAATGTCCCGAAGGACTGTAAATTATGTTGTCCGGACAGCGTACCCGTCTCATTCTGAGAGCTCAGTAATTGGATGTTTTCTGATCTGCCAAACAATGTTTTAGATGATCTTTCACAAAGCCCTGTATCTCTCATCTCACCAGCTCCTGTTCACCTGCTGTTGATTAATATCCCCGGGAGGTTTGCACCTGATGCTCTATGCTTGATCCTAGCCTAACTAGAAATACCCAGAATTCCATTCACGTGTCTGTCCTCTCGTCTTTGTTTCTGTTGGTGTCAGAGAGACTTTGACTAGGAGTCGCCTCAGATCAGTTGCCTCTGAAGTGTCAATCTGCAGATCAAGGCTAGAGAAAGATTGCACTTACATTGCATTAGGTGGGTTTTTATTTATTGAGCACTAGCTGTGGGAGCATACAGTATGTGTTGAGGAAAAGAATGGTGCATGTTTATGAGAGAGAGAGAGAGAGAGAGAGAGAGATTAAAATATAGACAATGCAGATGTGCTCTTGTGTTGCTTCTGTGCAGGTTTATGGCAAGGATGCATTTGTTTCACTACTATTTCACAAAACTCTTGCACTAGGAATGAATTGCTCATAATTATAACATTGTTTTCTTATCAATTAACCTAAGCCCAGTGAAATTTTGCACATTTGATCATCATTTGATAAATCACCTCTGGCATGATGACTTGAAAATGTACACAAACGTCTCTTTTAAACAAAAATATAGTGTTAATTGTGCCAAGCAAATTAAGAGTGAATATCAAGCCTAATTTGCATAGAATGTTTTTACTGAAAAAAAAGTGACATTGACTTAAACTGAATTGTGGCTTGTTAGTGAATAAAATGCAGAGTTTTACATTGAAATACTGCACACAAAAGTGATGCAACTGTTTAGTGAATTTGTCCTAAAATGTTTGATTAAGCAATTTTGACCTCGAGGGAACATATGAATAATTACAGAAAATCACTATTTATTTATAGATCTTTTTTAATTAATCTCGGGAATTCCTGTCCTATTTTTTTTAATTCTTGTAATTATAATTTTACGGTGAGTTTTATCTCTGTTTTTTCTGCTTGAGTAGACTTTACAGACTCATAAACTCATAATTTAAGATATTAATTTAATATGCCTACTTCTTTTATTCCACAAAATGAAAATACTTGGATAAAAATGCATTTTAATATTGTACCACCTCTTCTATGTTTACTAGGGATGTAACGGTACACAAAAATGTCTGTTTCGGTACGTAACCTGGTTTTGTTTATTTTCAGTACAAAAGGGAGAAAAAACAAATAGCTTTTTTTTCTTTATTCTTAAACAGTGGTTTATTGTAGAAACTTTGGCTCTGCCTTTATCTATAAAAAGTCTGTCAATACTGTTGTAACTGTCTCTTTGTACTGCAGTTCATGGGGATGTTGCACATCTGTGCTCATTCATTGAGGTCTGTGAAGGTTAACAGAAACCTGTTAGCTGTCTGGATGAACCTTGCAAAATAGAAGTGTGAATTTACAGATCAGGATACAGCCATACAAATGTAAGTTATGCACTGAGGAAAACTGGTCTCAAATTACACTGGATGAAATTTTGGTCTGAAACGGTGTCATCCAGTGAGCTCTTTCAATTTGCAGCCGGTTTCTATGTAGATACCTAGCTATTTGGTAAAGACCACCTCTGAGCCATATATGGAGTACAAGGCAGCAATTGACGAGTCTTGTGTCGACACGCCCCACGGAAGAGAGGGGTGGGGTGAGCAGTAGCTCATTATCATTTAAAGAGGCATGCATCGAAACGGGTCGCTGTGAACAGAGCTGTTTTAGACAAGGTAAAAACAAACAAAAAAGGTGTTTTACACAACAGTTGAGGAATTTTAACCAAAGTATGTTGCAGACATTACACGAACACCCTAAAGAATCATACCAGTTTGTGGAAAATGGGCATCCGATGTCCCCTTTAACATAAAGCACATCTCATGTTTTAGGACAACTTGGATTGTGCTCTTTTTCTGCAGCAGCTCACTCTGTGTCCTGAATTATTTTTCCGATGCATTCTCAACATCAATGTGTATTGTCCCAGCCAAGTTCATTTACAAACCCGATTCCAAAAAAGTTGGGACACTGTACAAATTGTGAGTAAAAAAGGAATGGAATAATTTACAAATCTCATAAACGTATATTTTATTCACAATAGAATATAGATAACATATCAAATGTTGAAAGTGAGACATATTGGAATTTGAAACTTCCACATCATTGCATTCTGTTTTTATTCACAATTTGTACAGTGTCCCAACTTTTTTGGAATTGGGTTTGTACATTCAGTAAGGCTATTTAGATATACTGTAGTCAGAATTCGAAAGTCTTCAAAGGGGTCAAATACAAAATAGAGTCCTCAGTGAACTGAAAAGGCTATTACTGCGTACAATACAAATCATTGCTTGGAAGTAAATAAAATTAACTTATTCATTGTTCACTTGAAAGATTGTAGTGATGCTCACAAGAAATTTTCTGAATTTTGATTTCATGTTGACTTAAGTAGATGTCTTTCTCAAGGGCACAGTGATGATTCATGAACCATCTTAGCAAAGAGCACATCACAATTCTTACTGCTGAAAAGAAAAGACCCTGTACTTGACGGGATATGTACAGCCATTTTTGACTTGACTTGGCTCTGAACTTGAATTTTCATTTGTTTCAACAGAATGTTACACATTTAATCAGTTGTGCTTTTTGTTGTACACTATTTGATGAATCCATAATTAGAAGTTCAACTTAGTCCGACCATTTGGCCTCAGCAGTGAGTGTAATCTGAGGATTAACATGAAACTTTACAGTTTACGTTTAACAAATGTTTTAAAACTCCCCCTCCTCCATTCCCATTATTTATTCCCTGAATTAAATACATTTGAAACAGATTATGTAAATATGTGCATATATAATCTAACGTTCAAACATTTGGGGTGGGTAAGGTTATTATGTTTTTGTATTATGTTTTTGAAAGAAGTCTCATGCTTACCAAGGCTGCATTCATTTGATGAGAAATACAATAGAAACAGTAATATGGTAAAAAAATACTACTACAATTTAAAATAACTGTTTTCTATTGTAATATACTTTGACATTTAATTTATTCCAGTGTTGTCAAACAGCATTTATTTGAAATATAAATCTTTTATAACAATATAAATGGTTTTCACCATCACTCTTGATCAATTCAATGCATCCTTCCTGAATAAAAGTAATTTATTTAAAAAATAAATCTTACCGACCCTAAACTTTTGGATGGTAGTGTAAATGTAGGCATACTGTTATATAAATATGGATTGTTACTGGATGAATGAAGGAGTTGAATGAAAGTAGGATTTTCTGTAACAATCACATGATTATAATTACAGTTCAGATACAGTATCACATACTTTGAGTAAGAGGATGATGGAAGGTGGTAGGTATGACATCGATGAGACCCTGAAAGTGTTTATGACAAGCAGATATTTGCAGAAAGACTAGATTAATAGGGAGGACGGCCCATTATAAAAGCAAGGCCGGTGGACTTGAGGGCCATTGTGGCTGAGAGCATTTGGAGTGGGGTTGTCATCGACTAGTTCTCGTGGCACCATACAACTCACTACAGTCTCTCGCTCTCTCTCATGGAATGACCTAATTAATTCATTCTTTTTTTTCCTGTTTGTGTGTGTTGTCGCTATACCCTATCAACAGAGAGGCTGGCGAAGAAAACTGGGACGCAGAGGGCTGCCAAACGCTCCCATCGCCGACAGTCTCCCACACCAAATGTCTGTGCAGCAAGCTGTCCACCTTTGCAGTGTTAGCGCAGAAAGCTAAAGAACCGGTGAGTGCTATCTTTACCTTTTCACACCACACTTCACCTCTCAGTGTCTGCTCGGGATGGGGCCTAGCCGACCTAGACCTTGGTGAAATTTGTCGTATGCATAACATATGCTGCCATACATTGAGAATATTGTTGTCAAACATTGTTTGAAGTGTTTGGTTGCTTTCTAGAACGTCAGTACCCTGTTTGTTCCACATATGCTTGATGCTACATTTAAAGAAAGATCAGAAACTACGTGTTCATGGGTAATTATTTTGTTGTAAAGATTTCTTAAAGGTAGGGGCATACCATTGTGACCGTCTGCACTGTTGCTGTGACATTCGATGTGATCTTGCCTCCATAGTGTGAGGGTATCGTACAAAAGCAGATGGTGGACCAGGTGTTTAATATATCATGGTATGCATAATGCGTCAGGGTTTGTCTAGCTTGGGATTTCTCCCAGGTATAGTTTAAAAGCACTGATGCACAGCAATGTTGTTTTTTTTCTTTGATTATGAATATTAATCTCAATAAAGTAATGGTTATCAAAGAGTGAGGCGTCAGGGGAAGTGTGGGAAACGATGATAACAAAATACGCTTCTGTTTAAAAATTCCATTTGCGATTGAAAGCTACTGCATGCAACTATGAAAAAAAAAAAAAACATTAGGAGCAGCACTGTGACTGACCCGATCAGCTGAGGGGAGCGTCATCATTTTCTGCTTACAACGTGTTTTTTGCAGGCAGCATTGAGTAATGTACTACAGACATATCTGTTGATTCCTTGAACGCAACATTAATCAGAATGCACTCACTGCTCAAATCACCAGTTTTGTTCAGTGCCGAGTTATGCAAGATCACGAATCCTCTGATTATAACAACGTGTAGACACAATGTAAATAAGAGATTTGTTGATTATAATGGAATGTTGTGACAGCTTTTGATGATTAAGGGAGTTTTGCAAATGTGATATTGATTTAATACAACAGTTCAGTCAACAAGAAGTTCATATTAAGTGACTTACGTTGTCTGACTGCAACATTATTCCCTGATTTTGCTCTATTTTGTCAACGAAAATAGTTTCAAACAAAGTCACAGCTGAGCCGCTGAACATATCCAAACAAACACAGCGGTGTCTCGTTTATGAATGGACGTGCGTTTTTAAACAAATCCAGTGAGTCAATGATTGAATTACTTATTCGTAAAGACTTGCTTTATTCTTGAATGAATCAGCCGATCGAACGAATCAATTGAATGAATGATTCAGTGATAAAATCAGTGATATACCACCATCTATGGGAGGTTTTAGTTTCATTTTTAAAGTATCATTTCAGTTATTTAAATCATTTAGTATTTTCTATATTCATATTTAAACTATTAATCTCAACATGAATTTATGAATTTAATTGCACTCATGCCACCTCTGAGCCACAATAAATGTCTGTAAATATACAGTGGGTACGGAAAGTATTCAGACCCCCTTAAATTTTTCACTCTTTGTTATATTGCAGCCATTTGCTAAAATCATTTAAGTTAATTTTTTTTCCTCATTAATGTACACACAGCACCCCATATTGACAGAAAAACACAGAATTGTTGACATTTTTGCAGATTTATTAAAAAAAGAAAAACTGAAATATCACATGGTCCTAAATATTCAGACCCTTTGCTTATGGGGTGCTGTGTGTACATTAATGAGGAAAAAAATAACGTAAATGATTTTAGCAAATGGCTGCAATATAACAAAGAGTGAAAAATTTAAGGGGGTCTGAATACTTTCCGTACCTACATGCCACTTTTGTAATCTTCTGTGCCACCACTAATGCTGCTAATACTTCTATGCAAATTAATTTTGTTAATACTGATTTCATTTGATCGGTAACTTATTTTTCATATTCTATTGTTTTAATTAGAAATATTGAAAAACCTTATAAATATAATTTTTTGAATTTGACAAAATATGACATACTTTTAATAAAGTTAGAAAAAAAATTATTTCAAAGGTAAAAAAACCCCCTTTAAATCACTTTTAGGAGTCAAAGATCACCTCATAATGGAAAGGCTCATTTTTGTTATTGATCAGAAGTTGCTCCTGAATTTTTTGACTGTGCTCCTATTTGTATTTATTTTTTTTATTAGGAGCACAAGAGCACAAAAGTAAGAGCCCTGTAAATGCTGTTCTTTTGAACTTTCTAACCACCCTGAAGAATCCTGAAAAAAACTATTAGGGTTTCCACAAAAATATTAGGCAGTATAACCATTTTCAACATTGATAATAAGAGTAAGAAGTGTTACTTGAACTGCAACTCAGCTGATTTCTGAAGGGTCATGTGACAATAAAGACTGGAGTAATGGCAGCTGAAAATTCAGGTTTTCCTTCACAGGAATAAATTAAATGTTTATGTATCAAAATATTTATTTAGTTATTTTTAATTGTCATAATATTTCATCATTGCTGTTTTTACTGTATTTTTGATCAAACAAATACATCCTTGATGACACATGTAGAAAATACCTCAGAAAATACCTAAATAAAAAAAAATTACAATTTCACAAATTTTTTTGTCAAGTATGAATTTGAGTGTGTGATACATATAGTTAATAATGGCATTTTTCAAAATTGGGTTATTATTTTAGACCAAAATTGTCTAAAATATAATTTCATGACTGCCCAATGTTTTGTGGCCATTGGATTTGTTTATTCTGCCAACAATAGCAAACTATTAAACTTAAAAACCATGCTAATATACAGTAACGATTGCATTGACATGTTCCTAAACATGAATAATGGTAAACAGCTAAACCTCTTTAGCTTTTGTTTATCTTATTTATTTTAGTACAAGCTAATGTTTTGAGTCCCTAGTGAGTAGATATGCATAAACTCTGAGAGGACTAGACACTAAGCATTGTATCTGTGATGTGGCTTTTAGCTATCCAGGTTAATGACTCGTGCTTCCGCTTGTTATATTGACCCTCTGCCCTCTTTTCACTTAATGGAAGTGTGAGGCCTCACAGTACATCTCTCTCTCTCTCTCTCTCTCTCTTTATATATATATATATATATACATATCTCCATGTCTCTATCTACATATTTATCTCTGTCTCTCTCGATTGTTTTCCCTTTTACTTCCTCCCCTCGCCTCTACTGCGTCACTAATGAAAGGATACTGACCCACTTTAGTTTAGCCGAGTGTTTTTTCTTCCGAAAGCACCCCCATTACAGTGATTGATATTCATTGCAGACGAAGGGGATGCTGGGAGATGGAGAATAGCCGTGAGGAATGAGCAATGTGGGGCAGAGAGAGTAGAGCCAGAGGCTAGTCACAGTCACACAGGAGCTGGACCACACGCTGCTGGCTGCCACCACCACTGACACCAGCTAAAGACAGCATGCCAGGCAGACACACAAATGCAGAGAGAGAGAGCATAGCACTGCCCATCAGGCACAGTACTGCACAGTCAGGGCATTGATCTTTGGGTACAGGGAGGCAAGGTGGATGCAATGCCAGTTCTAAAAACTGCAGAGCTAAAAGGAATACTAAAATAAAAAGAAGAAAAGTAGAAGAGAGAACATTTTAAAGTCAGAAGTCATGTTTACTAATTCACACATAATGGAAGACTACTAAAGTGTGTCTATTCTAGTGCTTTGGGTATGACAAAAGTGCATTCTAAATAAAATTTATTATTTAGATGATTTAAAGATATACCTTTATAAAGAGCTTTTGATCAAAAGTGACAGTAAAGTAATTTACTTTCATAAAGTAATTTAAGTCCTGGAAAAACACACTTTCCACAAAAATACTAAGCAGCACAACTGTTTTGATAAAAATAAATATTTCTTGAGCAGCAAATCGGTATTTTAGAATGATTTTGGAAGGGTAATGTGACACTGAAGACTGAAGTAATGTCTGCTGAAAATTCGGCTTTGCCATCACAGGAATAAATTATATTAACAAGTATATAAATAGAAAAAAAGTTGTTTTAAATTGAAAATGTATTTATTTATTTATGTTCTTTCAAATAAATGCAGCCTTGGTGAGCATAAATAGCAATGTATAGCAATATAATAGCCGTAACACAAGCTATTATATTATTATTATTATATTATATACTAGTCACAAGCTACAATCTTAAAAGTATAGTTACAGCTAAATTGAAAATCTCTGTTGTTCTAAACCTGTGTGACTGTTTTCTTTTTCTTTTCTTTTCTGTTTTTTTGAGAGCGAGTTATATTTTGAGAAATGTCAAAATATAGTGTATAAAGAAAGTCATGAACATAGTCATGAATAGAGTCATGCCATCCTTTTAAGCTTGCACCATTGAATGTTGTGGATTGTCCGTGATGATCACTTTACATTGTAATATTAAGGTTGTATAATGCTTATTCATTTTAGAATGGTTTTATGTGGTATAGTTTTCTAAAATGCGCGACATACATTTTGCAAGTCACTGTTCTTAAAATATGCTGTGCCATTTCTGAACACGTTGCTTCCTAAGATAATAGAAGAGTGACAAACAGGAATACAATTATAATTGATGGCTCATAGCTGTCACCTAGACCTAAAGCTTTAGGTCAATGCTTCCTAATGGACATTTATCAATTTTTGTCCTCATTATGACGTCAGTGCCTGGCTATTGGCTTTTGCGGGAGTGCCTGGTGACATTTGGAAGTGCAGAGTAAACGACACTATTAGCAAACAGTCCCCACCCATTAGCTTGACTCTGCATGGGTCATCACATCTCCATCAGCGATTTGAATGTTCTCCAGCAACTTAGCACTGTGAAAAAAACCCCATCCTAAAACCAGACACAAACTGTGTTCCAAAATCTAGTGTGCTGCCTATCTAGGTGTCATTTTTAGGCCTTATACATGCACTTCAAATGCAAAAGACGCTTCAAAATTGTGATTGCTTATAAGACACCTCTATTTGGCAAAAACATCTATTTGACATAACACAGATCCTTCCACAATGCCAGAATGCATTGCAGATACTTTGAGGGATTTTTTTTTATTCCGTTCTAA